GACAGACAGACAGACAGACAGACAGACAGACAGACAGACCAACCCACTCACCCTTTGGTCCCCAGTCAAGTGGAAAGCAGAAATCTTTAAGTTTTATTTCCAGCTTGCCTGATGTCCTCTAATCGCCACACTTAGAAACTTCTTTCCCTCTTCCCGTACAGAAGAAAAATCAATAAATTTGGTTTTGAGGCATAAGGCAAGGAGGACTTGTTTTATAAGGTAGCATAGTTAGTTGGTTTTGTGTGGAGACCATGAGGAAGAGAGAGGGCAGAGGGAATAATGATGTCTAGAGACCTTTATCCTGATGCCTCAGACCCACCTCAGCACCAGAGACTTGGGTGCCACTTTGTATTGGAAATTCACTCCATAATCATCTGAAAATTCCTATTCGTTAGCCTAACAGGCTGAAATAAATAGCTGTCTAATTCACAGAATTTCTTCCCATGGACACACTGAGTGAACTGCTTGCCTTCAACGTCACTTAATTGTATTTAAAACATTGGGGATTCTTGTCAGCTGTATTGGAAATGTCTCAGTGAATATTTACTGAGGATTTATTATGGCTTTGGCATAATGCCCAAGTCTGCAAAATACATAGAAATAATGTTTACATAAAAACCAGAAAAACTTTTATGCATTGATTGTTTCTGCTTCATAACGCATACACTGTCTCCTCCCTCTCGTGATTAACAAGAATGGGCAAAGCCAGGTGTGGTGGTGCACATCTTTAATCCCAGCACCAAGAAGGCAGAGAGGCAGATCTCTGTGAGTTGTAGGCCACTCTGGTATACAAAGAAAGGCTCTGTCTTAAAAAAGACAGGAATTAAACTTAAATGCCCTCCCTTGATAATGAGATTGAAGACTGACTTATATGCCATCCTATAGCCTTTATCCAGCAGCTGATGGAAGTAGAAGCAGACACCCATAACTAATCACTGAACTGAACTGGAATCTAGTTGCAGAGAGGGAGGAGCGATGAGCAAAGGGGTCCAGACCAGGCTGGTGAAACCAACAGAAACAGCTGACCTGAACAAGGGGGAGCTCATGGTCCCCAGACTGATAGCTGGGAAACCAGCATGGACTGATCCAAACCCCATGAGCGTGGGTGTCAGTGCAGAGACCTCTGAAATCTATGGGGCCTCTGGTAGTAGATCAGTACTTATCCCTAGCATAGGAATGGACTTTGGGAGCCCATTCCATACAGAGTGATAATCACTCAGCCTAGACACATGGGGGAAGGCCTAGGCCCTATCCCAAAGGATATGACAGACTCATGGGCCTCCCCCTATGGAAAGCCTCACCCTCCCTGGGGAGCAGAAAGGATATGTGATAGGTAGGGTGTTAGTTGAGGGGGGGAACAGGGGAGGAGGGGAGGGAGAGGGAAATGGGATTGACATGTAAAACAATCTTGTTTCTAATTTAAATAAAAAATGGAGTAAAAGAGGAATCAGTGAAATAAAATTTCACAAATGCCCCACGATCCTTCCACACAACAACTTTCACACTCCAATTCCTGATTCCATATTCTTAATGAAGTATGTATGCTTAGAGAGAGGAAAAAAGGCAGGGAGATGTAATTGTAATCACTTAGCCTAGACAAATGATCAAATCACACAGTGTTCTTTTTAACATGGAGCTAACATCTTAGTATACAGCAAGGTGAGGTAGGAGTGTGGGTGAATAACAGACTCCAAACATTTCTATCCTGATGAGGAAAGAGACATAACCAGACGGCAATGAAGGACTTGGCATAGGCTCAAATGCCAGGACCCCTACCCCCCTGCCCCCAAAACAGCCATTTATTGTTTGGCCTGAAACTTGGCACAGCACTTTTAGGCCCTTGGTCTCTCTCTTAATTTTCCAAGCTTGGACATTAAAGGGAAAAAAATCAGACTGTTCTTTTAAAGTTTACACAAAAGCATGAAAAAGTTTACGTGTCTAGGTTGCTTTCTCATTGGCTGGATAACTAAAGAATGAACTTTATTTCTAAAGAGCTGGCAGGCAAACCTAACAGTGCTCAATATGGACCAAGTACTTTTGGAATGGTTTAAGAAACACAAACAGCCCAAGTACCTCAGTCTGAAAAGCATCAACTGCAGGCACAGCGTTCCTCTAAGTGTTCTGTCACCTTTGAGAAGGTCACACATTTTCAAACGACTCAACATGATGGGCATTTTACAGGCATATGATCTTGCTTTTACTGGGTAACATAAATGTGTTTGTAAGAAACAATTCTTTTCTATATAAACAGTTGCTACCTAATTCACCTCATTAATTGCATTTTTCTTCAAGTCACATTTGCTGTACCTGCATGTGAACATTTGTATTGCCACAGCTGCATGCCATGCCTCTGCAGTTTGAGTAGCTTGAGCTGTAAGAATCTTCCAACTCACTCAGTGCTTTGTATCATAAAGAGATTTTTATATGATCTTAATCTGGTCGGGATTAGGATTACATTCACATTCTTAAAAAAAAACAAAAAACTGAAGCACTTGATATAATTTAAATGTCCCAGAAAATGTGTAAAACTTATGACTTACTCAAAGTTTGAAAAAAAAAAAAAGCAACCAAATAGACCCATCAATTCATAATTTTGGGGCACCAGATTTGCTAGAAACCTGAATTTTTCCAGCGTTATTTGTTATTTATAAAACTTTCTTACTCATGAATTCATCATTTATTTTCAAAGTTAATGAATACCAGTTTATTGCATATACACAGTTATAGATGGTATACTGTCAAACAATTGTTCACAGCACTTCATGATGGTGTGTGTGTGTGTGTGTGTGTGTGTGTGTGTGTGTGTGTGTGTTTATTTTAACTTCTTCCTATACCCAGTTCATCCTTCTGAGGCTGTTTTGTATTTCTGTGTGCCTGGGATTACTTTATGTGGGAGCTAGAGATGCAAATTGAAAAATGTTGACTCAGCTCTTTAAGGATGTCCTGACACTGGGCATGATAATGCTGTCCACATCTGTAGACACTTGAGGAGATTTCAGGTTAATCAATCGGAAGACTGTACTAAGTGGACTAACTATGGATTCCTTCCTAAAGCTCCACTGTTGCCATGTCAGGTTCCTCAACAATGTTAGTTTGTGCAGAGGAGTGTGGTCCCCATAGCAGGGACAAGTGTATCATCACTACTCAGTAAATGATTGGGAGTAGTGGGTTAACTACTCAGTGAGAGTGAAACAAATACCATTATTTCAAAGACAGGGGCCCAGTAGTCAGAGAAAAGCCTGCCATACACAAGCCACATCTGTATTACAGGAGCTGATGGGTAGGTAAAACCTCCAGACTTTCATCTCCTCTTTCTGCCATCATATGCTTGGTGGTCCTTCAAGAAGATTACTTAGGTCATTTACTTCAGCTACAGGTTTCACCTTGTAGTCTTTCTAACTTGATCCCTGTCATACAATATACCTTGAAAAATAAGTTTTATAATGCGACTTGAACTAAATCCTACTAGAAATGTCTCCAGGGACAGGGAATTATCTGCCTCATTCTTCTCTAAGAATACAGTTTAGATATCACATCTGCCATGATGTTGGATGCAGGGCACTCAACAAATTCTTGGGGAAAATACTATTATTGTCAATGGTGGAAATGATTGGTGGTGGAAGGAAAACTACAGACAATGCCTGGTGGTGGTAAGATAACTACAGACAGTGATTGGTGGTAGAAGAATAACTATAGACAATTGTTGGTATTGGAAGGATAACTACAAACACTGATTGTCAGTAGGGTAACTACAGCCAGTAGTGTAACTATAGGCATTGATTGATTGGTGGTGGTAGGATAACTACAGGCAGTGGCTGGTGGTGGTAAATACAGTCATAGTGCTGACGGAGGTGCCCCTCTTGGAACCTCTTGTACAGGCTCTGCTGTGTGTTCTTGGTTGGTTTTTTCATCTGTGGTGTAACTGGCTAGGCTGAACGCTTTCTTGTCTCTAGACCCAACATCAGGCTCATTCACTGGTGTTTCTAGGAGTCAGGCTGCATCAGTACCAGATGTAGGTCTCACCTATCCCTTCTTCCAAAGTAACCCTGCTCAAATACTCCTTAAAAGCAAATCTCTCTGAGCTAAAGTCAAGACAGAAATATTCTCCAACCTGCTACTCCATTTGAATGCTTTGGACAGGTAGAAATCAGCTCAATATTTCTGGAATGAATATAAAGATTTCAAATCTGTTTATCAGCCCTACTTGTTCTTTCCAGGAATGAAAGTGAAATTTCCAAAGTAAGTGAATCCAGGTTTGTGTTTTTCTTTCTGAAAATGCTGGCACGTGTGTTAATTTGTATTCACTTCCTATCGCTTCGAGCAACCAAAGTATGTAAAAAGAAAAGGGGGTACATAAAACATTTGCATGGCTGGCCACAATCCAGTACAATCCTCTGCCATATGGATTACTCATAAAGGGAGCATATACATCCTTTAAATATTGTTATCATCAGGCAAGCTAAATGGCTCAGAGGGAAAGAAAACTTGCTGCACAAACATGAGGACCTGAGTTCAGATTCCCGACACCCACATAAAAACACTAAGCATGATGGGGCATGTGCCTGTAACCGAAGTGCTGATGTATCAGAGACAGGAGGATTGCTGGCTACAGGCCTAGATCCAGGTCCAAGGAGAGACCAAATGTCAAGGGAATAAAGCTGAGTGTGGTAGAGGAAGGCATCTGGCCCACACACTGATGTTCACACAAAATACACAGTGAAGAAATTAATACTGTTATCACATCATCATCATTAAAATTATCAGTAAGGTTGAAGTCCTCTTGTCCTTACTGTTAGAGAGCAGTATCTCAGGCTGAGACCATCATCTACTAACAAACATACCCACTGCCATTTTAAAACCAATCAGAGCTTTGCGTCAGAACTAATTACGGCAATCAATGTATCTTATGGCTTTCTTATATGTTATAATAAACCCCTCTGCCACAGTTTTATATCTGTCTCACACAAGGTCACCGTAACTACAACCAAGCCTAGGCTTACCTGTGCGGTAAACAAAGTTGCCTTCAGTTTCTGATGATGACGGAGACACCAGCTCTTCCTCAAATTCATTGGAGCTAAAAGATCCCGAATGGTTCCTTTGCCTTGTTTTCCCCATCATGGCAGTGCTTGTGGCCATGACATGTCTCAAAGAGTCGTTAAGGTAACGGTTCAACAAGCTGCTCTTGTACTTGGGAGGTGACACATAGTCCTCGGCCGCCCGTGACTCTGGTCTCACTCCAGCTTTTATCACTGAGCTCTCCCCTTTAATCACAGTGTGATGGGCAGGGGTGCTGTAGCCTGCTTCGTTCATATGATTTCTTGGGGGATTTTCTCCATCTGAGGGGAAAAAGTACCACCAGCTAGTACTTGCACATACTTTCCCTGGCTGTTCAACTGTCACACTTAGTCATTAAAAATATGCACAATGGAAGAACGTATGCTACATATAAGATTTTTTTATATGTTAGATTTTTAGGTAAAAGGAAACAGGAACCTATATAATTGTTCCATGGGGTATTTAATTTTAATATAAATGCTTGCCCCCTCCCCCCGACAAATCTATAAACAGAGGAAAAGCTGTAATTCCTGTTACTTTATAATACTGTAAAGGTGAGGTTACCTCATGCAATAAAAAACAAAAAAACAAATCTGTAGCACTACAATATTTTGTGGGGTCAACCATTAAGACCGCATTTAGGGTGAACTTATTACAATGGCAAGGCAAAGGCAGGAAAATAAAAGCCCGAACAAACCTTCAGAGCAGGAGTCGTCACTGCTCACGCTGAGCCGCTCCGCATTGCCCTGCACGTACTTGTTGTACAACTTTATTCTTAAGGCCCAGCTTAAATCTGGCTGACGAACCGTGTTCTTCAGCCGACGTCTAGCATTAGCAAACCAATTTGATACCTAAAACGGCATTAGTTTTTCAATTAACAAAGCATTAAAACATGGAGATTATGCAATCACTTTCTCTTAAAGAACCCAAGACCAGGGTTGCTGCTATGGTCTTAGCTACTTGGGAGGTGAGGCAGTAGAATCACTAGGCTAGGTTTTGGGTTCAGCTTGGAGAACAGTCGGAGGAACCATCTCAAAAGAGAGGAAGAGGGAAAGGGAGTAAGAATGATGCCAGAATCCACAAACACAATGAATGGGAAAGTTAATGGTGATGTTGAGTCTACAAACTTGTGTTGCCCTGAAAATCGGAAAAATAAGACAGCTTTCTGAGGATGTGCCCGTGTGTCCTGTTCACGGAATATCTAAGCTAAGGTACTAGAGAAGAACACACTTGAAGGTCCAACAGGAAAACAAAAGGTGTGCATAAGATTTAAGGAAGGGAGGGTCTGATTTGAGAGTTACAGGCTTAGAGGTTCACCTTCAGGCTAAGTTGTAACTAGGTGAACTGAAGGGAGTTGAGGGCCAAGCTTTGGCCCTCAATTAAGGAGGAGCTAGCAAAATGACCAGAGGTGGTACAGTCAGAGGGGGTGGGGATGCCAGGACACCCTGCTTGAAACTGAAAGTCTACTGTTGAACACATCAGTGAAAACAAAGAAATGACATTTGAGTTATTTTCATTCTTCCTTCAAGGAACCCTTGAGTTCCTAGAGGATAAAATGTTCTTTTCTCTTGAAATATCAGGTTATCAACAGCATATAACTTTTACAATTTAAAAAAATAAAAGGACAATATTTGCTTTTTAAAATATGATCTATATAAATATATTTTTTTCTGTGAATTTGTTCCAGAACACAAATTCCTATTATTACTATAATGGTTTGTATGGACATATTTTCAGTGGAAGATTCTTTTTCTTCTTTGACATACTATAAATATATTTAGGGTATTTATAGTATAAGCGTTATGAATACAAAATAAGTATTTTTGCAAATTGCTCAATATCTAATTATTATTGAAACTATAATGATTGCTGCTTTAAAAAAGGAAAATTACATTTTCCTCCTTGTCTAACATGTTACTTTTTTCACATAAAGTCAACATTGACTACACTCATATTGCCCCCTTTTCCTTGAATAAGATGGCTGTTCTTTCACACTGTGTACCAGACCACTTCAAAAACCTTAGTTTTCATAAACTCCTATTACAGTCAAACTGAACTGTTATTGCTATGATTCAGTGCTTCAAATTCCTAGTCTCTCCATCCTCTGCACACAGGCAACATCCAGGCGTAACCATTCAATAAATACACAGTGAGTAGCTATTGCATACTAGCTATGGTGTGAAGCGCAGGCCTTGGCAAGGTCATATCAACACACACACACACACACACACACACACACACACACACACACACACCTACAAATGTCACACACTCACCTGAACCCCTATAATCATGATAATCTGAGACCGGGGCAGTCACTCACCATGGAAGCAGGGAAGCCCTGGCCTCTTCTTCTTCACTCCCTTTCCCTCCCTTCCTCCCCTCTGGTTCCCTAACTCACTGCCCAAATTTTCATGAAATGAAACATTCTTCCAAACTTCCCTAGTTTCCATTCTGTTCTCTCAAGTGGATCTTAATAACCATTAGCAAATTCAAATATGATGCATTGTTTTGACTTAATCAGTTTACTTCTTCAAGTCATCATTAACATCCTGCTATCAGACTCTGGTATAATGAAAAGTGGCCTGGTTTCCTATTATGAATTATCTAAAAATATGACATGTTGTGTAAAGTTAACTTTTCCTGAACTTCACATACTTCATCCAGGGGCTGGGATGTAACACTTGCCAAGCATTTGCAAGGATCTGGGTTTGATCTTCAGCATGAAACAAAACAAAGCAACAATTCCTTCACCTGCTGTAAAGTGGATCAGATGCTTTCTAACATCTTTATCAACTCTAAAAACCGAGCGCTGTGAAAGTCTTCACTGTCCACATACCGGCCAACCTCTGTGCATGCAGCTAGCTGTTCATCCTGCTTCCTACTCTCTCCACTGTTCTTCAAAATCAGTTGCGTGTGACTAGGCCCATCTTTGCACCTCTCACAAAGAAGAGGCCAGCCTGCATCTTCTCCTATGTTCATAACACATTTCACAGGACCCAACACGAAACCCTTTTGTCTTACGTTCTTTACTAAACAACATTGTTTAATTAAAACTGCATCAATTATATCTTAATCAGTGTTTACTAACTTGCATTATATCCATATGGTACAGTATAAAACCCAATTTTCATGACATGACATATAATCAAAGTGGAATGGCCTTCCAGTTTAAAAAAAAAAAACCAAACATTAGTATACTATAATTCTAATGTATAAAATTGAAGGAACATTTAAATGTCACAGGGAATTAATTGGCTTTTCACAATTAAAGATCATCTACTTTTTAATGTCTTAACGTATTCATAGTTTTCCACCCATTATAATGACATTAGGAGATTTTCCAGAAAGGTCAGTGATATCTAACATGGGCTTCAACTGGTTTCATAAGTTTGAGTAACACCACATGTGCTAGCATATATACGCTGCCAGTATTTTATCACTAGAAATGCATAGTACAACTTAACAGTCGGGTACAGGCTGCAGTATTTAATACTGACTTTCTTGAACAACAGAAGTACTAGTGGTTGGTGAATTTGCATATTTTGCATTTTTCCTCATTGATTTCATGTAAATTTCTTGTGTCACTGACAGTAAAACATAGACTCACATTTTCTACATTTTACATCTACTTTGGACTCCTTTATGCTGTCATGCGTATTCTCTTACCAAGGGTAGCTTCTGGAATAGCATTTTAATGGTAGAAGTGCCTTTAAAATGGTATATTTTATAGCGAAAGCTTAAAGAGCCAAATCTCTAGAAGCTGGAAGAGAAAACTGTTTTCCACACATCTTTACCAAAGATGCTTAGGTTTGTTGTGTGGACAGAGCAACTGCAGTGTGAAGCCAAAGGAATGAATGGGAGTCTGTCCAGTTTTGAACATCTGAAATTAACATGCCACTCTGTCTGAGTTATTATCGTAAATATTGGGTGTCTACTTTCTGTACTTGTAACACTTGGAATGATGTATAAGGCCTCATCTAAAATTTTGTTGAATATGTAACAAGTATTATCTCAGAAGAAATACTCCTACCAGCAAAAACAGCTATGCCAATACTGGAAGCAAATATTTGTAATACTGTGATTTTACCAAATGTACACAAGCACGTCCCAGGAATGTGAAACTACGTTCATAGAAGAAGAGGCACCAACACCCAAGCATTATCCCTTGGTAAGCTACATACCATACAATAATACAGATTTTCCATCCCATACTACCTGTTATTGCTCCTCGACAACACAAGCTATTCCTATTTTAGGAGTACAAAGCACATTTCTATATGAACAGTGTTAGCGATAGGAACCAAGCCCAGTATAAGATTCTGTTTGGTTGACATCAAAGCATGCCACACAGAAATACTCTCCTTAATTTTTATCAAAAATGCTTCTTGTGGTCTCATAATGATGATATGTGCAAATAGGAGTTAAACACAGTTATAGCAAATTAAGACCAAACTGGTAAGGTGAATGAATAATAGTAAATGAGAGTCATATGGTCAGTTCATTCGTTTCTGTTTCATTTTCTCAGGGATGAAAACCTGTAGGTACCAACCAGTGTCCCCTGGAATTCTATGAATCAGAAAAAGTACTAAAACATATTTCCATCTTTTTACTTCCATGCTTCTTGGGAGATTGCTGACTAGGTTTCACCCCTTCCCTCGGCAGCTTAAGAGGAGCAAAAGAAAGGAAAAGTACAGTCTAGGAAAAGTTTGACACACACTCAGAGGAATGTTAAATGCAAAATAAATGCCCAAACCTAAGATATTTTGTTGAGGAATAAAAAATAGCGATAGTGACAACCTGTTGCAATAAACCATGAAGAAGAACAAGAGGAGGCCCTGTAGTGGACAAGAATGAAGAGCTCAGACAGAAGTAAGGGCAGCTTTTCACACCTCCCAGCAGGCGCATGGGTATGGTATATTCATAGACAACTGGAAAATAAAGTGTGTCAGACTCATGCATATTCTGAAGACTGGTGCTACAGGATGAAGCTAATAAGCTGTGTGTTCTCTGCTCTGTTCTGAAACTAAAGCTAGAGTTCAAGACATCCTGTAATTGTCAGAAAGACATTCTGGAAAGCTATGTGTGACTCGGATGCTGTTTCCCAAAAGGAAGCTATTCCATCTACAAGCATGTACGGATAGAGTACTACATGGAAAGAGCCATCCTGTGGGGTGAAGCCCATGAGTAAGACATGACCACTCTTCTCAAGAAGCTCACTCCACAGGAGAAAGTGACTCACAGGGAGAGCCTGACTCAGGACACGGGGGAGTCTAATTTGCAAGGATCAAAAGCTTGACTCACATCACAGATCTCTGCTTTTTCTCCAGAAGTGTAAAGTATTTGCATAATTTATGCAGTTTCCATAAATCTGGGATATGTTTTGGATGTCTAATTCATGTTTGACTTACATAAATTCCTATATAAATGGATGTGTGGGTATACATCGAATATTATGTATATCTTTTGCATATGCCATTGTGCATAGTTGAAAATAACTGGACCTAAGATAGATTATAAATAAGGTCCCTGAGTGGTAATTTTATGCATTTCAAGTTTTTCCACTTATCACTTTAAAGTTTAAGAGATTTATCTTACTGACAATAGAAAAACCATTGTTGTACATGTATCATCTATTATTGCAATCTTTGCTACAATTAAGAATTACATATTTTTATGTTCTGAATGGTATAAAAGAATAAAAAATTTTGAATGATAATTTTACATAAGTTAGAAATGTAATAATGTTACCAAGATATAAGGGTGAAAGCAGTTATTTATGTTGAAACTATCATTACAAGTGGCAAGTAAGTATATAACTAAGTTAAAAGTATAACTGTATTTCAGTTCATTCAAGCTAACAATTAAAATATAATAATTTAAATTTCTCTTATATAACTACAAATGTTAGTTTTTAATCACCAAACACCGTTTTTAAAAACATGTCAAGTAGACTTGCTTTATATATGAGCAGCAGCGAAGCCACATGATCAAGCAAAGTAATGTGTTGAACTTACTACTAGTATTCAAGCTCCTCTGTAAGCGGGCATAATTCCAGGATAAGTAACAGGCCTGTTTAAATTAACATTGGAGCATATGCCTTTATTTTCATAAGTCAAGTTTTTCTGATTGTAATAACTATTTAGAAACTGCTTTTGTAAGGTTCAGAGTTTTGTGTTAAACAGATCTTAAGCCAAGAATACTGAATTACTTCTTGCCTCCAGTGCTGTGGCAAATCACCATTATTACAATTTCCTGTTGATAGGAAAGGAAAGCAGATGGTTTTCTCTAAAACTGTATTCTGAAAATAAGCAGAAAAATACATGTTGGAACTTTGTGGAGCCTTGCTACAAGCCAACGCAATGCTTTGTCAAACTTTCCAGTAATCCCTAAATGAAACTGTAAATGCTCTGGGAGGAGATCTTTATTTTACCGAGTTCAGTTTTATCTTGGATCTCACAGTGTCCTCTTGTCATATGTATGACGAAATGTGCAAACTTTCTCGATTGTGCTACTGTAAGATATGGAGTTTTCCCGCTCTCCCCGTGGCCTCCTCTCTCTGAATCTGTTGTTCACACAAAGCGTTACATCTCTATGTTCAGTAAAGAAAACTGCGGCGTGATGGGTGTGGTGGAAAAGCATTTGATTCTACCAAGGCCTTACCCTCAGCTCCCTTTACCTCGGTAAAACAGGTAGTAATTGCTCTGTACCGACGGTTTAGGAGAATAGCAAATATGATTGTGCTCAGAAAAGCTAATTAAATAAAAATCCGTGTTTGTTCACTACAAAAGAAACACGTTGGCATGATTTCTCTACAACCGACAAAGGGAACCAGCCATTCATATTCTAGAATATTCTCTCCTTAGCAAGGAGAAAACTAAAGATGTGCTGTGGCTTCCAGCTGTGTCAGGAGGAGGCAGCATTTAAAAGCCTCTTCCTGCCACCTTTCCTGTGTTCCGGCTCTGTACCTATGAATAATAGTTATTTTTACTTAATCTGTATGGGGAGCTTTTAACTTGGGTCCAATATCACCGCAGGCCCCAGGGTTCTCAAAGTTGAACAGGCAGCTTCAGCACCACCTGGGAACTTGTTAGAAAGGCCCCACCCCAGAACTACGAAATCAGGAAAGCTGAGCAGAGCAGGATGCAACAATCTGTGCTCTAAGTAGATTCCCTGGTAACTGATACACACTAAAGACTGAAAATAACAGTGGGTAGCACCATCTTTACCCATCATAGCTCCTGAATCCAGATTCCTACCCATCGACTTATCACATTGCTGCAGGCCTTCTCCCCCAACAGCGCATCACGGAAACTCCTTCTGGACCCAATCATTCGCACTTGAAGTGACTGATAGGGGTGAAATCTCTTTTCTACGCACGACAGGACCTGGCACCTGTGCCTAGATCCCATCCTCCTCGGAAACAGAAGCCAGAGTATCTGGACCGGCCTCTGAATGCTGAGCGACATCCTTCCTAGCGAAAGGCACAACGGCAGAAGCACTGGCTTTCTGCTCCTCAGCTGCTGGCCGCGAGATGAGACCTCCGGTTTGAGGGGTCTGGATTACCTGCACTAGCGTCATCTGCGAGCCGAGGGCCAACAATATCTTCTCCGTCTTCGTGGGGTACGGGTTGTCCCTGTGCTTATAAAGCCATTGCTTAAGAGGCCGCGCCATGTCTTGCAGGGCCTGTCGCTTGTGCCTCACCTTCCCTCCATTCTGCCGAACCCTGGGTCATGAGAAAAGGAGAGGGATGCGTTAGTGACACCTTTTGGGTGGCCTGAAGGATCTCCATGATAGGTCATATTTCTGCGAAGTCAGCACCCAACCTGGGCTTAACCGAACCCCACCCCCATCAACCCAGGGTGTCTATCCTTATGCACCTCAACTCTGAGAGCCCCCAGTTGGGGCAAAACAGGAAAAGGAAACGCCACTACTTCTCGGTGAGAGCACTGGCTCTCTAAATAGCCTGCTGGTTTGGGGGCCTTCCATTTATATTGAAAGGGGCGGGGAGCTATGTCGATCCCAATAAGGCAGTGTTCCTGGGATAGGGATGAACGCCACGTGGTTGGAAAAGTGTTCTCTAGACTGCAGATCTGGACCCAGAGCTAACTGACCCTTTCCTGGAAGCCCCCCCCCCGCCCCCGCTTCCAGGTCATTGAGTGGTCCTGGCCTCAGGAGGAGGGCCGGCCCTCCAAGTTCTCTTGCTCAGGTCCTGGGGCTGCAGGTCTCCAGTGGTCAGGGAACACACACTGGACGGCAGAAACAAAGCAAAGTATGATGGTTGCCTAGGTTCTCTGAACTCTTCTCATTTCATTTGATGCTCTTGCGGGGAGCTGGGAAAACTGCAGACCCTACAAAGCCGTCTAGGGCCTCTTTCTCTCTTGAGGGAGAGTGAAAAGTGTGAAACGTCGTCCCAGCAGGTAAACGTTTGTAAAAGACCTCAAGAAAGCCGCCTTCCAGGAGGAGCAGGCAAAGCAGCCTTTTACTCCTGAGCCGGCGTGGGGTGATGCGCTCCCGAGAGGCTCCGGGAGGTGTCGCCCCGCAACTGCGAGCGCTCCCAGCCCCAGTCCCCGCTCGTGCGCCTGCGCCCCTGCTTGCCGGGAGTCAGCTTCTTCGAACTCTTTGAAATGCAATTCCAGCCGCGCTGACTGGTTGTTACAGTTTGGGGAAGCCTAATCTCTTTTACTAAGCATCAGTGCGGCAAGACAAGAAGCCCGTGCTGTGGTTCTGGACGAGGCCGGCCTCTCTAGTAGCCGCGAGGACATGGCCGAGCGCACACTGTCCTACACGCCCTTCCAGGGACTGGAGCCGATGGCTCACCCCGGACCTCCCGGGCGACGACAGGCCGCTTACCCCCAGAAACCGAAAGCCAGCAGGTCCGCCTCCTCCTCCTCCGGGCTCGCCGCGGGCCCCGCCGAGCTGTGAGCTCCAGGGACGCCTTACGGGAGCTGACCTAGTCCCAGGCCAAGGGAACCCCGAGGCCAATGTGAGATCCTCGGGCCATAGAAGAGGAAGTTACCTGGGAACTGTCTGTTTGACTTGACCCTGTCACAGGCACAGCGCTCAATCTGCTCCCGCGATATGCAGAGAAAACAAGTAACTACTCAGGGTCCCCGAGTGCTAGGGACCTCTAGGTGCAGGAGGACTGGGTGCCAACTCCATTTCCACCAAGACTCTTTTGAACTGTTCTAAAGAATTAATCCCTCCAGTTTTGAGAAGGTAAATCCTTAAGAACCGGGCTTGCCAGTTCAGGAGATATAGATGTGTCCTTCTGGGGGAAGCTGCGGACGCCCGATGCTCAGATCTTAGTCTGCACTCCACATCCCCTCCCCGACAGCTCGCTGCCCCTACCCCTCCGGACTCCCGGGTGGGCACCGGCCCCAGGGCGTGAGCATACCCGGTCCTTCTGTGTCTCAGGCCGAGGTTGTCCTTGAGGGGCGGGCCATCTGGAATGCCCACCTCCGGGCGTGTGTGTGGATTGTCCAGGACGCCACCGTATGGCCGGCTGCCACGTTCCCGCTCTGGGGTGCCTCGGTCCTCAAAAAGCACGGCTCCCCCGAGCTTGTTGAAGACGATGGTGTTCATGATGCGGACTGGCAGGGACGCGCGGCTTCGCCGCAGTGCCTCGGAGCCGGGCCGCCAGGAGCTCCGCAGCAGGGCTCAGGTTCTAGAAGATCAAGGCGCATCACGTTACTCCCTACTGTGCCTAGGTTTCTGTAGCTCAGGAGCCCTGAACTTGGTGGGGGCTGCTGGTAAACTAGTGAATACCCTTCTTTAGCACCTGGCGAACAACACATTCACAAAACACTCTTGGGACAGGTCCCTGCTCTTCTTCCGGCAATCAAGCTCCCACACCTCTAGGAACTTCAAACAAATAATTTACCTACTGAGGTAAAGAAAGCAATTTTCAAACGAACTTTCCTGTCTTTAAGAACGTCACAATTAGGGCAGAGAAGCAAAATAAATAAGTAAGGGACATCTTCGTTAAGCACCACACACAGAAGAAAGCTTCTCCTAGGGTAGTCAGGAGGAGTTGGAAGGAGGAGACAATTTGGGGTAACATGAATAATTGCATCCACAAGGGCGGGTCAGCGCGTCCTAGGTCTTGGTGTCATGTTTCTAAATCCTGGACCATATGGCAGAGACCCCTACTTCTGGTTAAAGTCTCCCGCTGAGATAAGGACAGCAGGGGAAGTTAGGAGTAGAGCCCCAAACCTGAAAATTAATTGGTCTCAGGACAAATGTCTCACACATTCTCTAATCTTTCTGGAGAGCTCAAAGCAAAGGCACAACGCCCTGGGTCCCTGGGGGTTGCAGTCCTCAGGAAGTTGAGCCCATTTCAGAAGCCTGAAGGCTCCTAGTAGGCAGTGACCCCCACATCTTTCAGACTGCCGGCCGGACTCCGGGACAGCCTGCAGCTCACCTCTGGAGTTGGAGTGCCTGGAGGCCTCAGCCCGCCAGGTACGGACATCCGGAGCAAGGCCGCAATATTGCCGCGAAATCCGGACCATGCCCACCGGCCAGATCTCCCTCCTTGGCAACTCCGGGTAGCTCAGTCTACTCTGAGCCTCTCACACAGCGCTGCCAGCAGCCCCTTTAACACACACATCCCGCTTCTCGAGTGCACAGCGCCCACAGTCGCCAACGCCCCCCTGCCCCGCCTTCCAGTCACCGCAGTGGCGGCCACATGCTACATTTAGGAAAAGCCACAGCTACTAAGCGAAGGCCGCTGTCATTATTGGTATGGAAAGTGAAGTCAGACCTCTGATGGCCGCTGCGTTGCGCTCTAGGGCTGAATCCTGCGCAGACAGGTACCGGTCGCGGTGCGCACCCAGCCTCCGCGATAAGTGTCAAAGCAAGTTTGTGAGCCCCGCGTCCCCCGCTCCCCCCATTCCGACGATTGGCGATCACGCTTCTTTGCTGGTGCAAACGTCCTTCCCCCTCACACTCCACCTCCTTCCACACAGCCCCATCCTAGAGGCAACAGCTCCTTTTCCCTAGCAAAGCCATGGTGAGGTTTACCACCTAGGACCTTTCCCACAGACTACAAACACCGCCATGGTCCAGGTCTGCGACTGCAGGCGCGGTGGCAGGAGGTTGGCACGTGTCCGAGAGCTCGGAACCATTACAATGGGTCGGGCGTGGGGCGTGGGAGCAGTTAGGACCTACAGTTCCTAATTCATCCTGACTCGCGTGAAAGGTACCCAACACCCCATCACTGCTCTTTTGCTCTGCACTTACCCAGATTGGCGCCTAGCTGTGCTGGGGAGCGCGCTCCCTGCGGAACTGCCCCTCGGATAATTAGAAAGCAAAGCAAAGGCGACCAGGTGGGCTGCCAGCTGGTTTCCCAGATCCTCCCTCCCGCTTTGACCAACACCCAGGAGCGCCCCCCTCTAGACCTCAGACAGAGGTGGGGGAGGGGAGGGCAGTGCCCCGGCATTCAGAGAGCTGGGGAGCAGCTGTGCTGCAGCCCGGGCCAGGTTGCCGTTCGGCGCTCAGGGGAGAGGACATGGGGCTGTACCTGTGGCCGCGGGGCTCGCAGCCAGCGGCTGGCTGTCCCTTCTCGGGGCTAGG